ATATTGTCGCAATCGTATGTTTAATGTCTTCATGTTTCCAAACGTTTCTGTTTTCTGTGAAAACAACTGTTTTCATACAGGGATAGCTTGACGCTTTTGTCCATATTAGGAATTTCCTCATACGACTTTCTGCGTGAGAGCGCCCTCCGGCTTCGAGTATGAATGAAACATACACTGCATGGCGTGTTTAGCGCTCCATGATGTTCATCTCGCCTTATTCTGGGTCTGAATAAAACATCAGATCATGCACAGACTATCCTGTCTCATTACATTTTTAATCTATATTTATTCACACCGGCTCTTGCGAACACACTTGCCCGAAAAAGTGCGGGGGACGAATTTACGTGATATTAAAAGTGGGGGGGACACGTCCCCCGCGTCCCCTGCGTAATCTACGCCCCTGAGAGATGTCACGTCAGTGACCGACGAACTGGGACCAATCCACTTCGAGTGTAAACTAAGCATGCGATGATTGCATCCAGCTGCTGCTGATTGCAGCGCGAGTATAACTAGGCAGCAAGTGCAACACATACTCAGGTTTTTGCTGAGGAGCCGAGCGGTGGTACAGTAGCTTTGGCTACGGGACGTGACGTCTCCGTTCCCTCTTTCAGGGAACGAGGGTTGCATACCTAACTGAGACGTTCCCTTTCGGTCGGTCACTCCAAGTCACGTTGGTGACCGACGAACTGGGCTCCCAACCAAAGTGCCACGGATGCTGCCCCTTCCAATGTCTTGTGCGAGCTTCCTGTGCCCCTTTTTGGTGAGGGCCAGGGCTCGCGACAAGAAGGCCAGTCACTGTTGTCGTAGCACTACCCACTCAGTGAGATTGGATAACACTGGGAAACATACCCGTTCCACTTGGAACCGGAACGTTGTGTTGTCTCCATAACAGACAAAGAGCTGATCTGAGGTCCTGAAGCTATGTGTCTGGTCTACATACCATCTGAAGGCTCGGACAGGACAAAGCAAAGCTAGGGCTGGGTCTGCCTCCTCTGGGGGCAGCGCTTGCAGGCTCACCACCTGATCCCTGAAGGGAGTAGTGGGAACCTTGGGCACATAGCCAATATTACCAAGTATTGCAGAAGCATAAGAGCTATCTTCTTCAACTAAAGGGCACAATGAAGAATTTTTATTTTCTTGATAATTTTTTTGTCAATTTAGCACCCTTTTTTTGCAGAGAAAGACAAACAAAAAGAGCTGACAAAGCCCAAGGTTTCCAGGTACTTTCAACAGTATACTGACCTCTTTTGTAAAATAAATTGGAGTGAGCTGGTCAACAATGAGCACATGAACCGCATGGTTAAAATTGAGCAGACGCGCCAATGGCTGGAGAGGAACAAGGGTGATTCCTATACCGGCCTTCTGGAATATTTGTATAAGGGAGACTCGGCATCAACACTTGAAGAGATCATCCAGCAGTATGATTTCAATCTGAAGTGGAAAGAGGCCAGACCGATGGACACTGTCAACTTCACCTATGCCAATGTAATTCTGGCCAACATTAACCCTGAATCTCAGTATATCATGCCCTACCAAGACCTTCGCAACTTACTACTTAAAATAATCGACCACCCCACACCCTTCAGTGAGATCCTGCCATTGCACTACATCACAATTTTATTGTTATGGAAAGAGGATGACTGTACATTACCAACTTTTGTGTCACAAATGAAGCTGTCATATTTAAAAGACCTGAGACCTGTGTCTAATGGAAAGAGAGCAGCTGTCCATTTTTGCTTAGGGAAGGACGAAGGTTACGGTGGCCTGATTTCTCATAGGGATATAAACAGCTGTTTAGGATCTGAGCAGAATATCTCAACTAAATGGGATGATGAGAAAATGTGGAAGCGAGTGAGAGACTGTGAGAAACTTTACAGAGTTTCTGGTCAAATTTGTGATGGTTTTATCAGTGCTGCAGATGTGAAGGTCTATCCGATGTTCAGAAGCCAGTTACCTAAAGAATCTGGCAAAAGAGTGTCATTCTTCATCGGATTCTCAATGAATGGACCAGTTACGCTTGACATAGACTTTGAGTCATAGGGTTCACAAGCCTGATCTAATGGATCTGACTGATGACCGGAGAAACATGAATGAGAAAACTTGATAGATTTCCAGTTTAAAACTAAGACACTCGAGTCAAAAAGGAGCTCATGAACCAAAGCCAGTTATTTTTTTGATTTGCCTCATTATTATATCTTACATCACTCAATCAATCGTTTAATCATTAATGTTGCATGTTTTTGTAGCTACTTTGTTTTATCTAAAATAGTTTAGTCTAATTGTGTTTGATGTGAACTTCATAAAAGGGTGTGACTGCATTATGTGAGAGGATTGACATCCAGAGGGCAAACATGCACCTGTGTTGTATTTGAGTTCATTTGTTTTTCTTTATATGCATTTGTCTTACTGGATTTTAGTCATATACTGATATATTCATATACATTTATTCATATATCACATATTCTTTAGATTTGACTTCTATTTTTATTTAATTTATACTTTAATAAAAATAGGGCCCAATGTTCCATGTTAATCTGAAGGGAACTTTCATATTGATTTTTTCACAGGTGTTTTACATGTATTTGAATGATGCTTTGCATTGTGTTGTGCTTTAGGGTTGAAGGAAATGTTTGTAAACTTGACATAGGTACAGGTAATTTTCTGCCAGGACATTATCTGTTTTTCTACTGATTTTTGTTTTCTTAGTGTGCATTTGTTTCTTAACAAGCCTCATTTTGCAACTCTGCAAGGCAGCAGGTTTTTCTGTAGCTGGAACAAAGAACTAACTATTACGGTAAATGTCTGCATTCAAGGTCTTCACGGTCACAAGGCACTGTTAAGAATAGTCCATTCCTTTTGCCTGTGATCATAACATTTGTTTAATATATATCTTTAAAGGCAAATGTTATCTAATAAATTTAGATACCTTCACTTCCTTTCCCAGCTTCTGTGCCTTACAATCCATGCTGGATACGTAAAAAAGTAATCCACGGTAGATTTACTGCTAATTAGTTACAATTCTTTAAAATAATCCAATAAAATATTTGTGTTTTCTCATCTATTGTCACACGAAAGTCTATACATTTATATTACCAGAATATTTATTACAACTAAGATATCTTACTGTATATAAAATAACTGAATAAAAATAATAGTCCAACTATTTTTGCAAGAATTCTTCTCTTCTCTTCTCTTCGTTCCAAATCGTTCCTTTGAAACAACAATAGCACTTTAAAGATTTTAGTTTCACTTTTATTTTGTAATCCTACAAGACTCGTCCCGCTAGTGACTTTTATTTTGTAATCACCAGAGGCGTCTAAATCAAGGACCTACATACAGGCAGCTGATGATACTGCCGGCTGATGCACTATTCATTTAAAAATATAAATAAAGCAGTATTTTGTCGCTGCATACAAGCTCGGATGGAACAGATTATGTTTTCTTTTAATATAGTCAGTTTAATTTGACGAATGTCTGTGGTATTTAAGGAGGAAATGTGTGGATTTATGGAGTCAAAGCGTTAAATGAGGATCATGGCGTTTCCGGAGGGAGAATCACTGGAATCCTGGCTCAGTACGTGCATTATTATCATTTGCATTTCATAATAGGTGTAAATAACACTGCTGTGTTATGTCTTCAATGCTTGCATTAATACCGACGCGTCTGACGTTCTTGTTCAGCTTGTTCCAGCGGAATTTCGAATCATACTATAATGAGGGTCTGCTCATGAATATTAATCATCTCATATTGACGTTGCTTGGTAACCTTCTCGGGGCGTCCAATTATGATGCATAAATAATATCGAAGAGCCAAGACTTCACCGTAGTAGGATTCGTTAGTTCGCCAGCGCCCACTTACCAGCGTCTGCCTTCCAGCCAATCAGATATGCCCAGTGTACGAACGTCACATCTCATAATTAATATTCACGAGCCACGCCTTCCCTATAGTATGATTTATCAATTCAGAGTGCATTTTGACCGTCAGATCTGGCGATCATGAGTCCAGATTAAAGTTCAAAGTCCGTGTTTAGCTTCATGTAGGATGAGTTCAGACCAGAGCTTCAGGATTTACAGCAGTGATTGCTAATTCATTACTTATGATCAATTTAAATGATTTTATCCAGGGTGTTAAATAGTATATTAACCATCATAATACAATGATTTTTTTGGACATGCACCATGAGCATACCATGTAAATACAATTGTACATGACTATGCTAATATTATACATGCATAGCGGTTTTTGTAAAGGACGACTTCTTTATTTTCTTTATTTTTTTCTTGTAATCACTGATGCTAATATTGATATGCATCCCCGTGATTGGCCCTCACACTGTTGTGCCAGTGTATCACAGACACAGAGCTCAACAGGGCCGATTGTTTGGTCCTTATGATGGTGTGTGTCCTCCACAGACAAAGCCACACACCCGACCAACAGGCAGGAGGACTGGGAATACATAATCGGGTTTTGTGACCAGATCAATAAGGAGTTGGAAGGGTAAGCATCCGTAATCCAACATGACTGAAAACTACAGGATTCTCTTCTCTAACTGTGTTTGGGTGTGTGTTTGTAGTCCTCAGATAGCTGTGAGACTCTTGGTTCACAAAATCCATTCTCAAGAATGGGAAGCCCTTCAAGCTCTGACGGTGAGGGATGTTTTAACACTAGTCCAACATTGCTGCTTTATTATGAGTTTCTTTACAGATGATATAATGTTTACATGATGTGATGTTTGATGGTTTTGTGTCTCTGAAGGTACTAGAGGCATGTATGAAAAACTGTGGGCGAAGATTTCACAACGAAATAGCCAGATATAGGTTTTTAAATGAGCTGATTAAAGTGGTTTCACCCAAGGTTAGTGGTTTTTCTGTTACGACTTTTGTATTTTTTTAGGCTGACCCATAAATTAGCATCACCCTGGTTCCCTCAAAAGAAAGCCAATAGGATTTTTTTTTTCTATTGCTTTTGGATTATTGCAGAAAATAAACTCTGTGACCAACAAAACTTCCATGATTCTTGCACATCTTGTTCATCATGATAATCTTAACAAATGAACACAACTTTTATGAATTTTTAAGCCTAAATACAATCATTACAAGTACAAAAGCTAAACGTAGGCTATAAACGAAAAGGGTAAGCATCCGTAATCCAACATGACTGAAAACTACAGGATTCTCTTCTCTAACTGTGTTTGGGTGTGTGTTTGTAGTCCTCAGATAGCTGTGAGACTCTTGGTTCACAAAATCCATTCTCAAGAATGGGAAGCCCTTCAAGCTCTGACGGTGAGGGATGTTTTAACACTAGTCCAACATTGCTGCTTTATTATGAGTTTCTTTACAGATGATATAATGTTTACATGATGTGATGTTTGATGGTTTTGTGTCTCTGAAGGTACTAGAGGCATGTATGAAAAACTGTGGGCGAAGATTTCACAACGAAATAGCCAGATATAGGTTTTTAAATGAGCTGATTAAAGTGGTTTCACCCAAGGTTAGTGGTTTTTCTGTTACGACTTTTGTATTTTTTTAGGCTGACCCATAAATTAGCATCACCCTGGTTCCCTCAAAAGAAAGCCAATAGGATTTTTTTTTTCTATTGCTTTTGGATTATTGCAGAAAATAAACTCTGTGACCAACAAAACTTCCATGATTCTTGCACATCTTGTTCATCATGATAATCTTAACAACTTTTATGAATTTTTAAGCCTAAATACAATCATTACAAGTACAAAAGCTAAACGTAGGCTATAAACGAATTACACCATGATTGCACAACTTCAACATCACCACCATTAAGTTCAGCTCTTTCAGTCTTTATTTAAAAACATTTACTAAGAAAGTTTGAGTTAGAATAGTTTGCAAGAATGTGATTATTAACCAGAAACCCACTGAATTCAAGACGATGGAACCAGAGGTGCAAAAATTTGATCTTGTTTCTCATTTTAGGATTCATTTATGTGTGCTTTATAGACGTAATTGACTAATATGTTTAAAAACTTTGTGTTTCAGTATATGGGGGACAGTGTTTCTGACAAGGTGAAGAATAAGATCATTGAGATGCTGTACAGCTGGACGGTGGTGTTTCCCAATGAGGCCAAGATAGCAGACGCGTACCAGACGCTCAAGAGACAAGGTGAGATGTTACGAGTGAACTTTCTCTGGTCTGTCATGAGCGGCTGTCTGATCAATGTGTGTTTCTTTAGGACTTGTGATGTCGGACCCAGAACTGACAGTGGACAAAACCCTGATCCCGTCCCCTCCGACACGGCCCAAAAACCCAGTGTTCGACAATGAGGACATGGGGAAGGTGAGAAACCTGATGGCATCATTTCCTGTGCATGCATAATCTGAATTTAAATATGCGATTTGGAGGTTTAACTCAATGCGTTTTCCATTTATGAAACTAAGAAAATGTGTTGTTCTGTGATTTGATGGCAGTTGTTGGCTGAACTTCTGAGGAGCAAAAACCCGGAAGATCTTCAGGAGGCGAACAGACTGATCAAAAACATGGTGAAGGAGGTGAGAGGATCTTTAGATGAGATCAAGATGTTGATCTGATATTTAAAGATGGATGAAGAGCTCCAGTTTAAACTCAACATGAAAACGATTATTGAATTAAATTATTAAACAATGAAAGAATTGCATGAAAATTAAAGCATTTAAAGGAATACAAGGGAATAAAAATTTTAAAAAACTATATTATTTAAAAAAATTATTGTAAAATAATGCATTTGAACAAATAATATTTATTAATTCCTTAATAAATGTCTGGTTTACAAAAAAGTAAATATTCAAATCTGATTTCATGTTGACCCTAATGGTTCAAGGGTGATTGCATCTGTGGTGGCAATTGTATAAACTGCATTAATGTCAGACCTTTTACACACAGATTTACACACTGATTCTGGATCAGGTGTGGCATAATTGATGTGACAGACTGAATCTGTGTTGTGCATGCAGGACGAGGCCCGAGTGCAGAAAATGACCAAACGCAGCAATACGCTGGAGGAAGTGAACAACAACGTCAAGCTCCTGAGCGAAATGCTGAGTCACTACGACGGGAACCGATCGTCAGACGCCGACCACGAGCTCATCAAGGTGAGATCAGACTTGACAACAATCAATGTTTATAAAATGTGCAGACCGAGAAAGTTTAAAGAAATGGCACTTGAGTTTCTAAGCATCAGGTGGTTAAGTTAGTTTGTTGCTGGAAACTAGTTTGATCATAAATCTCCACCAGCTTAGCCCTCAGATATTTCAAGTATTTCTGCTGTAATTATGACAAAGCTGCTTGTTTTCAACTTATTAATAGTATTTATTAATATAATCTGGTAGTATTAAGTTTAAAGAACTGTATTTTCTTCAATACAAACAATAGTCAGTGTGGGGAAAAAAAATATGATTTCAGTTTATGTCTTGACATTGTGTTTTTGTTTTTAGCATTTTTATTTAGATTGTTTTAACATATCATTAATAATTTACTACTGTATTGACCCGAATATAAGACGATATTTTTTTCTTGGAAATACATCTGAAAAAACGCGGTCGTCTTATATTCAGGGTCTAGACTTTGACATGTCAATAATACACCCACAACAATAGGTGGCGCCAAATACGCATAAAACGAGTGTGCCATGAAATACGTAATGTAATGCGTGTTGTAAAGATCGCGAGTAAAAACAAAAGAATAAGAAAACCTTACAGCTGAATGAGTCGTGACTGTCACGTTAGCCTGATGGTACCAAACTCCCTTTGTGATTTTAAAACGTAAGACAGTACCCAGATTTGAAGACTACAGTAAGATTTAACTTCTACTGTTAATAAGATATTGGTGCGCTACTATTAGATGGATAGCCTAAATGTCCTAATTCAGATGGGCTACCTGTTTTTTTTTTTTTTATGGTATATCAAAATGTATATTTTTTAAATGTGATTGTTGGTACATTTTACCAGTTTTTACCATACTTTCAAAACAAAAATGAAAATAGGAAAAATATGCAATATGAAAATAATTGAAGACAAAATGTGTTTTACTGAGAAAAAACAAGATTTGGTTTTTAAAAAGCCTTTTTCCAAAAGGTACATCTGGAAAAAGGGGGGTCGTCTTATAATCAGGGTCGTCTTATATTCGGGCCAATACGGTACTTTAAATACTTATCCTGCAGCCTCAACCCAGCAACTGGCTGCCTGGTTGAGAACCGCTGGTTTAGTAGCTCTAACAGTTAAATTTCACTTGTACACTTCAGATTACAGAAGTTCTGTACTGTATCATTACAGCTGTTTCCTGTCTGTACTATTACCCCTTATTTACAAGGCACACGTCTGTGGCGTGTTACAGCTCTGACACGGCCACTGGAGATGATCGTGGCCACTCTAGTCAATGCTTGTGTTTGTACCAGCCGCGCCGCGGCACGTTTTAAAAGCATCTCAGAAGTGGCTCTCCGTGCTGCTTCGCTAAAGATAGGCGCCTAGTCTATTTTTGGCAGATGCCATGTCCAAGAAACCTCAGAACAGCTCAAATACAAAATAAACAGCCTGTGCAGACTAAAACACCGCTACAAATCTTAAAACTTTTCACTCATAATTGAACTTTTAAGTGTATTGACTTTGTATGTAGGCTACAGCACAACAAAGCAGAACATGGCAATAAACACAATTAAACTGGACAAAACCATTTAACCAATTTATCCATGGTAGAACCCCAAAAAAAACAACGCCGGACAGGCAAATCTTGTGATCTCTTGAATCCAGTTGCTTCTAAAATGCTCCACCGCGTGGCGGACGAAACAAAACCTTGTTGGAGCCGTAATGTGCTACAGATGTGTGCAGTGTAAATAAGGGGTTAGAGCTTGTATAATTAAGTTGATGTAACCATGACAAAAGCACTCATATGTGACCTGACGTCTGTGTCCAGGAGCTGTATGAGCGCTGTGATAAACTACGACGCACCGCATTCAAACTGGCCACTGAGGCGGAGGACAACGACTCCAGTTTGGGTAAATGGCATGATGCTCCGCTTTACTCTCAGAGAAAGATGGAGGATTGTTTATTTGAAATGTTTAGTATTTTTCTGCTTCCTGTAGGGGACATTCTCAAGGCAAACGATGATTTGTCCAGAGTAATCAGCTCTTATAAACGAATCGTAGAAGGACAGGCGGATGACGGCGAGGGTGAAGATCTCAGACCGGCTGCTAGTGAAGGTGACGTCACTTCAGGGATCATCTGTAGATCTTCTCTCAGCAGCAATATTTTGATAATCCAATACATCATATTTTCTTCATGATGATTCTTGTTTTCTCAGGATGCGAGACCACGGGCACATTGATTGATCTGGCTAGACTGGATGAACCTTCCTCTCCCCCGACCGTCCCTCCTCCTTCGCTTCCTCCTCAGGTCCCGTCAGCCAATCCCACGGCCTCGCCCATCCCCGTGCTACCGCCTCCTCCTTGCCGATTGGCCGGCGGTCACGGCAGTCAGACGAGCAGCCCCAGTCACAAACCTCCTGAGCAGCAGACCTCTCTCTCCCTGCTGGACGATGAACTCTTGTCTCTCGGTAATAAATCTCTTTTAAATTGTTGTGATGCTGTCTGGTGATGCATACCATAGAAATAGGCTATGAGAGGTCACATAAATGTGTAAATCACTGTAAAGCCTTTTTATAAAATGGCATCGACTGTAATATAAGATACTTATTAAATAAATAAATAATATTAATAAAATAATGATTTTTATTAACATTAATGTTTTTGAAAATGTTACATTTTTGATAATATACAATATAATATAATTGTTATTTAGCATATAAAAACAATACTTAGGAAATAAAGGTTGTAATTGATAAAATAATAATTGCTATAATAATAATAATTATTATTATTATTAATAATGTTTTTAAAACAGTTTCAAAGCTTTTATGTTAATAATAATAATAATATTATTATTATTAATATTAAAATAAAAAATATTGTTACTAAAAAGTATATTAAACATTTTTAAAACAATGATCAGTAAATAAAAATGTATGATTGATATAATAACAATTAATATTATTAATAAGTTTGAAGTATGAAATGTTATTTTTATTAAAAATATATTTTTAATAAAAATAAAATAATACATTACAATTATTATTGCTATTAAAGAGTACATAAAAAGGTTTGAAAACAAGGTTAATTAAAATAAAATTCATTATTATTATACAATTTATTTAATAATAATAATATTTAAATATTCTTACAGTTTTCATGACTTTACTATTTATTTTATTAGTTTATATGCAATATAACATGCATAAATGTTATCTTACTCTCAGGACTGAATGATCCTCCCTCTGTGCCAAACAGACCGAAATTGGATGAACTGTCTGGTCAGTGGACGTCCTTACAGGTAGGACACACGAAACCATTGGACTTACAGACGTTAACAGAGATGACTGAATCTCTCATTTTTTGGTTGGTCTCTTGCTGTCAGGCTCCTGATCCGGGCCTGGACCTGTTTGGGAGCATCTCGGCTCCGAGCGCCGTCTTTCCGACAACACACACATCTGCGCAGACCTCACACACACCAGCTGTCAGTCAGGGGCTGCAGGATCTCTCCATGCTGGACTTTGGAGGTGGAAAGAGGTACAATTCTGCTCTTCCTGATTAAAACAGCACCTCAAACCAACCTTATGTGGTTTGCACATGCAGAGCGTTTCTTATCAGTCACTTATGAGGGTCCGTGATGTTACAAAGCTCCTTTAGAAGATAGCTGCCTATGTAGATAGCTTATTTGAGTATATAAATGAGATTTTATTCTATCTCTCAATAGTGTTTCTGGTCTGACTGGCATCGCTGGAGGTACTTTTGGTCTTTCTGGAGGTGTGATGGGCTCCGCGGCCGCCCCTCTTCAGTCTACTAACCTGTTTGTGAGCGCAGCGGTGCCCGGTTCGCCCGCTGTGGCCCGGGCTCAGGCGGTGACAGGCGGCTCAGCTCCGGGCAGCCCTTTCTTTCTGCCTTTCTCATCTCCGTCTCACTCGCTTCAGAGCAGCCCGGCGCGGAGCTCAGAGCCCAGCCTGTCCAACCTGTACGTCCCGCTCGAGTCCATCCGACCCAGTGAGTGACCGCAGTATGAATCTGAATAGCTTGACAAGTGACCTAATTGAGTTGATCTGAAATGATTTAGTATTTCATTTTCAATTCATCAACTGATTACACTAACAGGACGTAAAGCTCAAAAAAATTGGAGAGCAATAAACAAAAATAAAAGCTTGAAAATAAAGTCAAAATGTCAGCAAAATGATAAATAATTAAAATCTTAATTATCCTTTGTTGGTATTTATATTATAGGCTTCATTTTCATTGTGAAAAATTAAATATACAAAATATATAAAAAGATTATTATAAGTATATAATTCTTTTTATCATAAATGTATTGTATAAAATGTTATACAATATATAATTTATTATTTCTTTCTTTTAAAATGAATTTCTTTGGTCTGAAATGTGACCCAGAAAGGCTTAGTTCTTTACAATTCATACAAAATTAATATTGAATTCAAATCCTATATTATAATTTATACTATATTATACTATACAATGCAGTCTTCCATTGTAACAGGCGGTGGTTAAGTGTTTTCAGTCACAAGATGGCGCCAGACAGTCAACGATAGCGGAGTGACTCATTAAGTTATCTGGGAATAACATACCGCTGGATGCCGCGATTGACCAATCAGAATAAAGTATTCCACAGAGCCGTGTAATAATATAATTTATATTATAGGCTTATAGATGATTGTATATGTTTCTTATTTATATTATATATATTGTATATTAATATTTCTTTATATTACACTATAGTTATATAATACAATTATTATAAATACAATTTTTTTTTCTTTTGATTTTGTGGGTGAAATGTGACTTTTTAAATATCCAGACAGCCAAGGTTTCCAAGTGATCCTGCAGCTTACCTGTTTAACTGTTTTAGTTGCTGAGCTATAACTGTTTCTGCTGGTGTCCTCAGGTAAAGTCTTACCTATGACGGTGTATGATAAGGATGGAGTCCGTGTTCTTATGCACTTTGCGATGGACTGTCCGCCGGGTCGACCGGACGTCCTGGTGATGGTGGTGTCGTTGCTCAACACAGCGCCGTTACCCGTGCGAAACATAGTGCTGCAAGCAGCCGTGCCCAAGGTACGACCTCCTCCACTGCCAACACAGATTTACACAGAGATTTTACATGAATCAGTTCTTTAATGATTCAGTTGAACCAATTCACAACATTAATTTCGATATAAAATGTGAAATGCCACAGAGCTTTCTTGGAACATGTCTGATGTGTTGTGTTTGTGGCAGTCTATGCGAGTGAAGCTTCAGCCTCTATCAGGTACAGAGATCGCGCCCTTTAACCCCATCCTGCCCCCCGCATCCATCACTCAGGTCATGCTGCTCGCCAACCCACTCAAGGTAGGAGGTCACACACATCTAATACTTCCTTTTATTAGAAAAAACTTAAACAAAATACAAAATCTAATAAAATGTTTACAAAAATTTTTTTTTCTTTTCGAAAATACCTTTTAAAAAGATTATTATTAAATCTTATTATAAAATGATTTATTGCTTGTAATTATTATTATTAAAAAGAGGGGGGGTAAATAATTAAACCAATCAACAACACAACACTTTGATTCAGCTCATCATAAAGGTTTACCGGTGTTGTGTGTGTGTTTCAGGAGTGTGTGCGTTTGCGCTATAAGCTGACGTATCTTCTGGGAGAGCATCAGTATTCGGAGGTCGGAGAGCTGGATCAGTTTCCTCCAGCGGACAGATGGGGCTCCCTGTAGATCTCACCGTTTACCTGCTCGAACTCTTTAATGTTCATTCCCAAGTATTGTCATTCATTTGTGCTCTTTATTTATTTTCAATCAGTGTTTTACTGTAGCCTTGTGAAGCAGCATTTGATGCTTGATGTTTTTCGCGAAAATTCAAGCTGGATATTAATACAATAACGCAAGTCAGTGACACACATGATGGTCTGAAGCGGAAGCACGTGTTTCAGAGATTGATCTTTTGTGTGCTGCCAGTACAGAGGTTTACCATGGTAATCATAGTTTCTGTCAAAATACCATAGTAAAACAATAATTAACTGGCACTTTCAACAAATAGAGTACAAAGTTATGATTAGAAAATTTTATTTAAAAAAAATCATTAATTTATGTGAAATAAGTTAATTACTACAAATTTGACTGAATGATTTATGTATTAATTTAGGCTAAATTTAAAAACTTTTACCAGTGATATTTTAGTATCATTGAGATACTATAATAGTAGTTTTTAAAATATTTACAAAAATATTTTTAGATATATTTTTGTTTTATTAGGAGTTTTATTTTTGTATTTTGTGTTTTCATTTACAGTTTTAGTAACTAGTTTTGTTGTTTTTCGTCATTTTTATTACTTAATGTTTTTTCATATATGTATATAGTTTTTATTATTTGTATTTCACTTTAGTTACTTTAGTACATGAAGTAAACAAAAATGAGAAATGTATGAAACGTAGCTAAGTAAAATATGTTTTTAATTTTATTTCAAGTAACAAAATGCAAAAGAAAAAAGTAAAATGTTTTTAAGATGTAAGTTTTAGTTAACTTTAACAAACTTGTAACCAATTGTGGTATTTTATTTAGTTATTATATTAAAACACACACACACACGTCTGGTCAGCTATCCTTGTGGGGACTCTCCAACAAAAATGAGAAATGTATGAAACGTAGCTAAGTAAAATATGTTTTTAATTTTATTTCAAGTAACAAAATGCAAAAGAAAAAAGTAAAATGTTTTTAAGATGTAAGTTTTAGTCAACTTTAACAAACTTGTAACCAATTGTGGTATTTTATTTAGTTATTATATTAAACACACACACACACACGTCTGGTCAGCTATCCTTGTGGGGACTCTCCATAGGCGTAATGGTTTTTCTACTGTACAGACCGTATATTCTATTGCCCTACACCAACCCTACAC